AGACATCGCTGATTGGACGACGGCGCGGTTTGACCCTTGAACCAGAAGTTGCGTCGTCTGAACAGTCCAGCTTCTTTTAAATGCGTCTTCAGTGTACGCAAACTAACTGAAATTTCGTGATTAGTCTTGAGCATATCCAGTATCACCTCGTACGTATGTCCTGATTCAAAATATTCCTGGATAACGGCAGCTATGTTTGGGGGGCCGACAATATCCATGTTTTCAAAAGCCGCAGCTGGCAGAAGGACTTCCGGTTCAAGGGTCAAACGGCGCCGTCGTCCAATCAGCGATGTCTCATGTTTCCCACTGGTACCTACCTTTTCCGGTAGGTTAATATAATTGTGTTTTCCTTAATGTAGTTGCGCTTTGCTTTATGTAGTTTTGTTTTTCTTAATGTAGTTGCTTTGCTTTATGTAGTTGCGATTTCCTTAATGTAGTTGCGCTTTTAGATTTGTAGTTGCAGTTTGCACTTCAGGGCCACCGTACAAATGTGTGTAATATACACTGGGGAAAAAGTCATTTTTTTCTTAAAATAAGTGCATTTGTTCTTGGATTGAGGAGGTAAAAGACACATTTTGCCAATGGAACAAGACAATTTACATTTCAAATAAAAAAAACAATTACATTGTCTTACTTCAAGTGCATATTATCAAATTATCTTATTTTAAGAGTATCTAATTAGCATATTTTAAGAGTAAGAATACTCATACTATCTCATTTACCTACCCAAATTAAGGATAAATACACTTAATTTAAGACATTCTTTCTTTTGTCTAGATCATTTTTCCAGTGTAGGTAAAAATAAATCCATTGTGTTTGTTGATTGTTTTCCATTGTCTAATACCTAATGATGAAAAAATAAATAAGCAAACTACATTTCCATAAAAGCAGAATGCTTTCAGATTGAATATGTAGTTTTGTTTTGGATCTAGGTTCAGTTCATATTTTAATTGATTCACGTTCTAATTTGAGTTCAACATTATAGCGTAATGACCCAAAGATCTAATCTTTAATTTATTCTCTTAATGTTGTTTGTATTTGATCAAACAGGAAAACGAATCAGTTGATTTTTATTTGTGTTTATCTAACTCCACAGACCACTCACAGTCCAGAGTGTCAGGATGTCCTTAAATTCATAAGTGAATGGTGTGGTGGTCTACCAGCGTCAGGATTCTCCTTCCACTGATGGGAATCCTCTCCGTTGTACACACTTCCATATTCCCTAGGTGCAACTTCTTCTCTTTTTATTTTCTAATACATGTTTATTTCACTGCCAGATTTTCTCTGCTCTCTTTTTTTTTTTTTGTTAAGCACTGTTCAATATCTGAACATAGCTTAGGTTCCTTCCATAAAGGTTTTCAATTGAATTAAAGAAATAGACAAAAAAATAATTGAATACTGGATCTTATCTAAAGAATTGTGATATACATTTTATTCATATGTATACTAATAAAAAATATTAACATAAATGTTTGGAAAATAATAGTTCATATTTGAATGAATACGCTTTTTTGAGTTAAATCTTGGTAAAGCTAACCTACCAGCTTAGCCTTAGCATTTAGCTAGGCTAGGCTAATTTAGCCACAATTTTGAATTAGGATATCTGTTTTTAGACCCAAATAGTGGCTTTAATTTTAACAAATGTTCAAAAGATGTTTGTCCCCAACACAATTATTTCTACAAACTACACTTTTTCCATATTTGCAGATTTGTAGTTTAACATGAAATTAATAAAAGAGTGCTAGCTTTAGCTGTATGTCCAAAATAAGCACTAGTTTTACAACTTTTCTGATAGTTACACAGTAAAAAGTTATTAAAAAATATAAATTCAGAGTCTTTATTAAAATGGCTATAAATCAGTTACTGCTATAAAGAAAAAAAAAACAAGGCAGCACTTTCAAATTGGTGATTTTATTAAGAAAACATTAAAGCAAAAAGGGTTGTTATATCTCTAACTTAGATTTATTTCCTCTTTGGATGTCAATCAACAGTTCTAGTCCTGTATAAATGTTGACACAGCATATCATATATATATATATATATATATATAATTTTTTTTACATTTTCACACACAATATTTTCTATATTCTGGTGATTTTCAGAGAATTGAACTAAAAGTATGGGTCCTACTAAAATACTTGCATCTACTGTAAACTAAGAATTTCACAACTGTGTTTATTAGTAATTCTATGCAGTTCAAGTAAAATAAGCAATGCGAAAAAAATGCATTATTACTGGATTACTAGCATTAATACAGGAACCAGTGCAATCGAATCCCGTGGAAACTACACTGTGTATGAATATTTGGAAATAGGCTAAGGATTAAAAATCTTAATTCATTATCTTACTAAATTTTTACGGTTTACAATTCAGACCTTCTAAGAGGCTGTAGATTCTATAAAAACTCAAAGCATTTCTATGGATGTTTCATTTTGGTAGATGTGATGGAAATAAAGTTTTTAAACATATTTAACGGACCAAAATACATCCCTCTGTTTCCTCCTCTATCAATTCTGGATAACTGTGTTGTTCTGCACATCCTCTATGTATGTGGTTGGTGTTTTCTTGGCTGATCTTTTAAAAATTAAATGCATTGGTTCTTTTCTTTTGTGGACCTCATGGTTTGTGAGGCATATCTGAAAACTTTAGAGATTTGTGTTGGTTTAATTAGTCCTAAAATCCAATGGGAGATTATTCAACTAGACTGAGCAATAAGTATTTTATTTGTGAGCAAAACATGGGCTAAAACTGGGACTAAATCAGGAGGCTAAATTAGAGGAAACACGGATTAAAGCTTGACGAAAAAAACAGCTCTAGATGTAGAGAAAACAAACCATTTGATCTGATCCTATACTCCACATTGATTATTTAAGCCATCTGCTGTTTATTCATATTATCTCTTTGTACTTTGTTTCAAATCTTAGTTAATTTACAAAGTTAATTATCTTAGTCCATATAAGATAAAATTCAAATGGCATACCTCGTAATAAATACTAGTAAAATCCCCTTTTTTCAATATCAGTTTTTATTCAAGTGAAATATTTCATACAATTTCATTCATTGAACCGCTTATTTAAAAGTATATATTGAGCTGGTAAATTTACAGTTTACCTCATATTGAATTTTGATATGTATTTTGTTTCATAAGTAACATAAGTAAACATTTATATTTGTATTTTCTCTAATTTCTTTTTCTCAGGATGGCATAGAAGATAAAACCAAAGGTTGACGTCTTAAGTTTAAATATGTTTTCTCAATGTTTGAAATCTTTGGCATGACTTTATTTCCCATCAGTTATAAATATATTTAATGTATGCGGACTGAAAAGTTCCCTTCTGTGTTTTTAAAGCCAGTAATGCCTTTACTGTATGTTTCCAAAGGAATGTATTGTCTTTAGGAATGTCTAAATAAAGTTTTCAACACTAAAAGCCTTTTTTTTATGTTGTGTAATCTAAAACTATTTTTTTCTGAGGTTATTAACCAATTCCAGGGGAAGAAAAGTCATCAATTATATCTAGCTGTAGAGACCTCAAAATTGTAACCTTTTTTTTAACACAATGCATTAGAAATGCATCCATTTTTCAAATGCATTCACATAATTTCTAATAACTGCACCAGTTTATATGTAAAAGAGGAGCAACTATTGCCATTTGATGTGTGCATTTCCATGGCTGTGGGTCTCTTTTCATTAAATCTGGACTACATTATGATTCAGCTTCTGTTTGTGTGCGTTGTTAGGCGGATTTGTTCAAAAGCAGACTTTCATCTTAATGGAGTACATCCATTGCTGCTGCATCTGTGTTACCTTCTCAGTATGGCTGCCATGACGAGTCTAGTTAGAGGAATTTTTTTTTGACGGGTCTCTGATATGCATTTTGGATCCTAAGATTATTCAGATTTCCTTATTTATAAAACTTATGTGCATTCAGCAACTGTATAGCTTTAATTCTTTTTTTTTTTTCAGGATTATTTAACTATGCATTTCCTTTTTTTATCTATTTGTTTTAGTTGTTTTTTTTAGATTCTGTATTATTTTGATTTTTATGGAGATCTCTTAAGAATTGAAACTTTTTCTTTGTTTTATTCAAATGCTCTCTCCTTGTTTTGTGTGTATGTATATATATATATATATATATATATATATATGTATGTATATATATAAATATATATGTATGTATGTATATATATATAAATATATATATGTATGTGTATGTATATATATATATATATATAAATATATATGTGTATATGTATATATGTATGTATATATGTATATGTGTATATATGTATATGTGTATATATGTATAAGTATATATTTATATGTATATATATGTATGTATGCGTAT